ACTTCTTTATCATCCCAACTAATACTGAGCTAACTCCTCGTCATCCCAGCTAATACTGAGCGCCGTGTGTGTGTGTGTGTGTGTGTGTGATGGTTGTACCTTCAGTACGTCAAGCTTTGCCACCCACACTCTCCATTTGGTCACGAAAAACATGCAAATATGACATTATCTACGCTTTATTTTTACTTTTGTGATCTTGGGAATTCGATTGACTACTTTGATGATAGATTCAACTTATTTTCTTTATTTTGGGGGACAAAATACCATATATTTTTCGTTACAAATGTTGGGGGAAGCATACCTGTTAGAAAACATACCTGTCAAGTTTTGTAGAAGCAGTATTGATTTCAAAAACATTGCTGGCTGTTTGACGTGGCGCCCTCTGCTGGTGTGGAGTGCCTAGGGATGAAATAAGAAGTTGGTAGCATTTGTGCATGCGATTGGATTGACTGCCTTCGGTACATTTGCTCACTGGGAGGACCCGCTGTAAAGCACTCACGTATACGCTGGATGTTCTGTGTGTTGTTTATTTAAAAAAAAATAAGTGACTGCATCTTAATCCATTGTGGCAATTACATGTTGAAAGAAAAATACAATAAAGGCGACAATGACATTTACATACCAGACAATGCGGATAGATGATGTTTGCTCAGTGTTTCTATGAAGGCTGCGCCATTTGGGGAGGTTGAGGACTACGAATCCATTCTCCCTGGCAGCCCCCCATCCCCCCCACCCCTCTTTTCCTTAACCTGCATGTGAGTCCTCCTTTGAGATGCAATAAAATACAAATCACCCAAACGGACGTCACGGCTTGTCACTTATCCCTGTTCGGTCTCGTTTGTCGTCTCTCGCGATCTTAGCTCTGAAAATGTGCCGGAGACTAAATAATTTGTTGGCACAGTGTTCTAGACCTTGAGCAGGTCAGCGTAACCAGTCTTTGTGTACACTTGAGCCACTGAGAACGACTGCGGGCTTAATAATTTGGCGGGAAGCTTCATGACTGCAATAAAATCTGCAGGATTTATATCTCGCTGTCGAACACCGGTTATCTTCAGATTTTAGTGGTTTATACACATCAGCCAATATTGAAAAAAAGTTGGAAAAACATTTAGGACACTGACATTAATTGTCACTACTCCAGGAATCCTCTCATACTAGCAAGCTTTGTTTTGCATTTTTCAACTCGAGCTAATTTAAGCCGGTCCACACGCCGAAAATTTGACACGCGCAACAATTTAAGAAGGGTTCATTTGAAATTCTTAGTTATGACCACTGTCAAAACAAATCAAGGACAACAACACCGCCGCCAGTGTTTAATGGACTTCGAATGCTAACAACGAAGCATCGTGCTTCGTTGTTAGCATTGATATCTGCTCCCCATCCCTAACGTCAGCCCACCCTAAAACAATATGAAACTAATTTGCACAGTGTATACAAAGTTTCAGACGAGACAGCAATTTCACATTTTTTTTTAAAGCAGACTACAGTTGAAACGGTTCAACTTCACAATACAAACAAATGCAAAACGGTTAGTGTGGAAGCATACTTTGTGGCCTAAGCTTGATGGCACGGTGCCGCAGCTGGAAAAAAGTAAGTCGGAATTCAAAGAGTTTTACAGTGACTGGGGTCTGTGTGGATCCAGTGGCAGATTTGCGCATATTTGGCAGGGGTGATCCTCACCGCCACATTGAAGTCCCGCTGCTCGCCGTCCCCAACTTGCACCCACTGATGACCCGAGAACACCCCGATCACTCGACGCTGCCACTTCCCTTTCCCGCCCTCTTGTCCGTCCTCCTGTCTCAGACGGACGTAAACCCCCGCCCCGGTGGCTCCTGGCCGGGCATCGCAGTGCTGGTACATCAGATCGTCGGACTCCTTCACTACCGAGCAAAAGCGGTAGACCACCTTTTCGCCCCCGCGGACAGCCATCAAGCTTTTGTCTTCGTCGTAGCTCGAGAAATGGATTCGGGCCGGGAGGAAGGTGCGGGGCGCCACGCCGATCTCCATGAACTTCCTCTGTTTGACGGCTCGTTTGAGTTCCAGGAGGGCGTAGTCGTAGTCGGTGGCCAGGGAAACGGAGGAGTTCCTCGAGTGGATCCATCCTTGCGGGATGCGCGTTTGTTTGACTCGTATCCAGCGAAAGACGGGCTGCCTACTGGGGGGACTGATTCCCACCCCCCAGTCCCTGCTGCTTCTCGCTGTATCTCGAGCAATTCGATTCTTCTCTCCATCCCGCATAAGCTCTCCTTTTTGCTGGTTTGTTTTCCTTGCAGCCCTCTGCCGTCTCTTCCTCCTCCTCCTCCCTCTTTTGTTTCGGAGTTGTAGCACTCCGACTTTCAAGCTTTTCACGCTCTCCAGATAGTAACTCCCGTCATGGATGCAGTTGGCAGCCGTCAACACGTGTTTGGGGGAGACCAAGACCCCGGAGCAGCCCGTGGAAAGGCGCACGGCGGTGGCGAAAGGATAGTTGGTGATGAAATGCCAGTCGGAGATGACGAAGCGACCGTCGGCGCCGTAAACCTGCCGCTTCCTGCGACTCGGCGACGAAACGTACGGAGCCGGTCCCGTCGTGTTCCAACCCCGCAATCTGACGTCAGTGCGCGTGCACGTGCCATTGTCATACATCGTCTCGTATCCCAGAATCCTCTCTTGCTCGCTTGGGTTTAAGGGCGGTAGGCCACTTTGACACTCTATACCGCAGAGTTTGGAAACTTCGCCTCCCTTTGCATCCGCCGTTGGTCTCCTGAACAAACGTTTCTCTTGAAGCTCGGTTTTTTGGGCCGTCAGCACCGGGAGCTTCTGCCTGGTCCACTTGTGCACCTCGCTGCTGGCATGAGTGACAGTCACATAGAGCAGCAGACAAAGGAACTCAAAGAGGCCCATCGCGCTAAAAAGAGAAAATCATTGGTTAATAACGTGAGGGGGGGTGACAAGAAGAGTCACGTAAGCGGCCATGCACAAGTTATGAGCCGCTGTTTTTTTTTTTTTTTTTTTTTGCTTTGTAAAATTTGAGTTCAAAAGGAGAGCGGTCTTTCAGCCATTTACAAAACGAGACAAAGATTCAGCAAAAAAGCAACATCAAGAGAAGGACTAGTCAAACTCTTTGAGCAGCAGATGGCGCCAATAACTACACTTTGAAACAACTAATTAGGATCAAATCAATGCCTCTACCACATTATAAATAATCACGATTAAAAAAAAAAAATACCATGACAAACAACTGTACATGCCTTTCCAACATTATGCATTTGGGAATTATCATCTAAAAAATAAAAAAATGCATTCAAGACAAAATGCAAGACAAACTCAAAAACGTACCTGGCGTGTGACAAAAATGCCCCAAACAGTTTCCCGTCAAATTCTTCGAATGTTTACAAAGGCGCTCCCCGTCCAAGAAGTCAATCTTTTCCCGACCGCTAAAAATGTAGGAACCTTTGCACGGGGGTCCTCACAGATATCTACTGTGGTGTCCATCCCACTGCTGAGATGCGAGAGGCCGAGGGGGAGGGTGCAGAGGAACATGGTGATCACATGAGGACACATAGTGGAGACACATGCAGAGAAGTGTTGATGGTTTTTTTAGGTGGAGGGGGGGGGAGCTGAGGCCTGTCTGGTTGCATTTAGTGCTTGGGCAGATTAAATTTTGCGGTCATCGATCCATCTATTATCTGTACTTAGGTATTCAATCATGAGGGGCACAGGTGAAGTAAAATAGCGCTTAAGATTGTACTTTGGAACAACATAAAGCAATTAAATGTTGAATTGGAATGTAACAAACAATTATTTGCCAGAGTTCTGCTTCAATTCAATGGACATTTGCGGTGCTCTTTCTGGGGTGCGCGCCTTGGCAAACTCGGGGTAGAATGATACAGACATAAATTTACATAATGACCACCTGGCCTCGGTAAACAACAGTAATATTAAAGAATACATGCCTGTGAGTATTCCTCTTTTATCTGTCTACATGTGTTGCTACACTGTTGGTGTCCAAATGTCTGCAATGTTTAACTGTAAGTATTAAAAAATACAAGAGAGGGTCTCATGTAAGTTCAACCACAAAGCCCATTTCCTGTTGACTGTGCGTTAGGATTTTAATCACGTCTTCTTATAACTTGTGTTTTGTTATCATATGAGATGGGATTTATTTTCAGGTTATCGCGATGTTATCTCGGGAATGGATTGTTGTCTCGCCGGGAAACTTTCACTCACATTTCACATCGTTCATTCATGAAGAGACTGAATAAATATTTTGGTTGGAGTGTGTCCAGAGGAACAAATGAGAAATGCGTGTTTGCTTTTTGACAAAGAGAAAGGAACAAACTAGAGGGACGTGTACTTTATCCATCGAGTGAGCCACCCATTCATGTTTTAGTCAGTCATTTATTCAACCACTGAAGTGGTTTTCAAAGCGGGAGATACACCTCCACTTGGGGGTGCCAGAGGACTTGAGGGGGAGGCATGCACAGCTTGAGGAAAAAAAACAAAAAAACAAAAAAACGAGACATATATATATATATATATATATCGGGTTTTTTTTGGAACATGCTAAGCTATTTACTGCTTTCAAAGCCAAAGGACCAATTTGAGTTGTATTTTTTATTTACATATTTTTAAATAATTTTTTTAATTATATATATTTTTTTACATTCTAATTAGTTTTTCTGTCACCATAAAAAATGCGTAAAAAAAGATGCGTGTTAGTGTTTTTGTAGGAACAATTTAAGGTCCTCAATTTGACCTCAGGAACCTAAAACGCACTATAACCCATGCGACCTGAAGGACTTGATTCCCCCCTGGAGTGACTTTACTGTTCAAGCCGTCAGCTACAGCGGAAAATTATAATTCACTCATTCCTTCATTTGGAGTCGATGTTGCAATCCGCAGTCTAGACAGCTATGTTGTTAATTAAAAAAAAGCAAATACAGCAAGTTGGGTCAAGACAGCTGCAGCAGAGAGAGCGTGTGGACTTTTTTTTTGTTTGTTTGTGACTCACTCTTTATTTCCAGCTGCTCCCCTCACGCTCTGGACATCCTGGCTGTGCTCTTTTAAGGCTCATCAGAAGATGAAATCTTTTTTTTTTTGGGGTAGACGTCATTTACAAACGTCAAGTTATGATATCCCTTCATCAGTAAGAAGAAGATTGTGAATTTTCCCCACGCCGCAACTCTTATTTGTATGTCTTTGCCTGCTGTAGGTCTGTTTAATGTATGCGCGTGTGTGGTCCATTAGTTATGTTAACAGCCCATTCAGACAGTCCTGCATTTACTCATGTATTGTATCACACAACAAGACAGGCAGACCACCACGTCCAACACTTCACAAGACGACGGCTGTGCATCAGGATGTCAATGGAAGGAACATACTGAGGTCTGTCGAAGTGAAAGCAGCTGTGTTGTTGCAGCCGTTATTTTATTGAAAAAAAAAAAATTAAGCTCGGGGGCCTGATCTCTGACTGACAATTCAAAGCCGCACACAGTACACTTTATGGCTGATGGCTATATTATCCTCGGTCGATCTACGTCTTTATGTTTCTTTTGAAAGACATCCAGCCTGATGTGAGTAGGAAGAAGTACGTTTGGGAATTCAGCAGAAAAGTCATCTGTGTCATAAGAGACAACGGGATACATTTTGTCCGACATGGACAAAGCGCTCTTCTTCCCTTTCTTCTGCTTCTTCCGTCTGGGTGAACTTGTGATCCTGAGAGGTTTTTTTTCCACCCCCAATATCTTCTTTGGGATTAAATTTTCATTTAGACTCGATATTTTGACTTCAATAGGGGAAAAAAACAACTTAAGATACGAGTGCTGTATGGTGGCAGTTAACTCACAAAAAGCAGCATTTCGGCAAATATCGAGCAAGTCATCAAAAAAAAAAAAAACGAGGCTACGAGCTGTTTAACGTCTCCCCCAGTTTAAGTTTCCTGTCAATTTAAATACAAAACAAAGAATTACGTGCTGCCCATTTAAAACAACCAAGCAACTCCCTTCAGGCCTCGCTAGTTTAATGCTGACATACAATGGAAAACGGCATGCTAGAGGGGGCACATTACTGAAGAGAACATTTTTGACTTGACTTCCGATTTAATTTTTTTTTTAAGTCCATTTAAATAAGTGATCACTATGTTCGTAAAAAGTACAATATTGTAAAGGGTGTTTTCCTTATCAGAACACAAAAATGAGTGGGTTTTTTTGGGGTGCAGTGGGGGGTCCTGGAACGGATTAATGCCATTTCCATTCATTTCACTGGGAAGTACTGATTTAAGATTATGTGAGAAAGCAAAAAAAAAAAAAAAAAAAATACAACTAAAATAAAAGAACCAAAAATAATAATGAATACACGCATATACATAAACTCTACCTTTCTATGAGAATTCTGATTAAGTTAACAATTTTCTTGGAATTTCAAACTACGACAAAACTAGAATAAAAACTAACAAAAAAACAACAAAAGGAGGGCAGCAAAGGATAAAAATAAGCAACATGATTTGTCCAATTAAAACATTGGATTCATTTTTGAGCTGTAAAATAGCACATGTTGGAAAAGAAGGATGCTTACACACACACACACACACACACACACACACACACACACACACACACACACACACACACACACACACACACACACACACACACAGCTGCTGAACTCAATCTGGATCATCAAATTCCCATGGTTGAGTTTCCCAAAAATTCGTCCAGGAGCAAATGCGGATGGAAAGCTGTGATGAGCATCTGCACTACCATGAAATTGTCTCTTTGCATGTGAACCAAAATGCTGTCCTAATTACCAATTACCGCACCACTTCAACTATATTAATCGAGCGTGTACGAGACCCATCACGTCATCAAAACATATTCCATCTGGTATCATGCTGTCCACTCAGTAACTTTGTACATGCGCATCCTTCACCACGGTGAGTTCAACTGCCTCATCTCTGCGGCTCTAAACAGGAAAAGACTGTGATTATAAACACGTCGCAATTATTTATGAGACAAGAGCGAAGAATGCGGCCTGATAAATAATTGTGATAATGCGCGAGGACACCGTGCTACAATGCTCAACTGCACTCGCTTTAGCCCAAGTTTGTTGCAGAGCGAGACAATGTAAATAACCTTAAAACACACACACACACACACGCACACACACGCACACACAAACACACACACACACACACACACACACACACCACCCCCACACCCACACACACGCACACACACACACACGCACAGATGGCAGCAACCATTGGTTTGTTTTCAGCCTTTGCCATTTGTGGACATTAATCATCACGGGCGTCAAAACAAAGACATGCATGTCTATCTAACACAAGACTAAAATAACACACATGAAAAGAAGAGAAAGGATACATAGCTGTGGGGAAGTACCAAAAAAAAAAAAAGGGGAGTAATGGTTTTTGTAGCAATTTTCCAACGTTCGGAACATGTTACTTTGGTAGCATAAAAGTAGGGCTGGATCATTTTGAAAAATAATGTCATTGTTGGGGTTTTATTGGTTAGGGTTGTACTAAAATAAAGGCAAATGAATCAATAAACCGGAATTTTGTGCTTGCGTGGTCAAGTACACGAAATCCGGCTGAACCCGTGTTAAACTGGAGCCTTTCCCAGAGTCAGGCAACAAAACAGTAGGTGATTTAATAAGTGTCGGGAAAGAAAATTAGACTGAATAATGCTACACATGTCGCTAAACAGGTCCGGAAATGAATTATGTTCCATAATAACTTGCCACGCGGGAGGAGTGGCTTAGAAGAGCGATCCCTAACTTTTTCTTTTTGTTTCACGGATGAGTTGAGACATGTACTGTTCGCGGATGAGCAACCATTTCTTTTTTCATTGCTTTTAAAATTGCCAGTATTAAAGCACTGGAACTGACAACAAAGATATTGATAGTGTAAAACGTGTTATTAGCATTTTTTTTTGGATTAATTTCAATCTTATTCGACTGTACAACAAATGTGACATAAAATATCACTGAACTATTAAATAATGGACTAATCAATCGCTTTATAGCGTAAACCGGGATTAAGGATGAACCTGTAAACAAAGAAATTGCTCCTCAAAAGTGCAAAATTGCTCCTCAAATTAAACCACTGATTAGCAAAAGTGCTCCTCAACGATTTTGAGCCTTGGGCTTACACATGAAGGGGGAAAAAAAAAGGACTCTGAAAGGCAAAAAATGAGATGGGGAAATAGCGCCACCTGGAGAGATTCAACTAAACGAGCGAGGGCGTCCTGCAGATGGCGCTGCAGCTCCTTTATGCGGTTGAAATGAGGCCTTTTGCCAGGATGGACCACATGATTGTTGGACCAAGAACTGAATTATATCAAGGGGGATGATTTGTGACACATTTAGGGGATTATTAAATGCTTTATTTTGGCATGTAGGAAAAATATGTTTGCGGGAGTTGTCCCCTACATAAGTACACACTTCAAGTCAGTAATTGATACTGGTGCAAAAAAGATTTGCTCAGATTTCCTGTTTTGTTCATGGAGGGGGCTGGGGGGGGGGGTTGTTCTTGTTTCACAAAGATGCACACTCAAGAGTTTTGAGTCAACGTGAACTCAGGGGGAATATATGAAACACAGGCACACTATAGTTTTGACTACCTGTTTGCACCGCCGTGTCCTCGGCTACAGCTGGTTTGCTTTTCGGATGCAGAGTCGTGCTCGCTGGAGTCGTTTTTGGAGTTGAAGTAGTTTGCCAGCTGTGGACAAACAGAAAAGGGGAAGAGCTGCAGTGTGGCTTGCGCAGACGGGCACGTCAGCGAATCTCATTAGTGGCCTTGCGGGAGTTTAGTGTGGGCTTATAAATGCGCTCTTCAAGGTGGACTCTGATCGGCGAAAGTGTCCGGCCGGGTTCAAATCAATGGGAAATAGCGTTTAGCTTTGCAGATACACATGAGGACATGCATGCTTTACGTCACAGATAAGAATACAGTGCAGAAGGTGCAGACAGCTGTAAGAAAAAAAAAAAGACTGCAGTATAAAATTAAAAAAAATAATTAAAAAAAATATCCTTTGGAAATTTAGTGGGACCCTGACTTACCGATGCACCAACGTTGAGCCGTCTTTGGATTCTTTGTTGTTGTTTTGTGCTGAGACTACATTTGAGGAGGTACAAGGGCTTCAGATTGATATTGTGATGTCTTGACTGTCAAACGTAAAACAAAGAGATTACACATTGCATATTTAAAGCAACCACACGACTCTGTCTTCAGAATGCTCCTTTGGCTTGATGCGGACAAATGTAAAATACCATTGATCGGCTAACGTGGATCGTCATGGTGAAGCCGTTCAGCACTGAATAGCAGTATCACAACACTCACAAGAATATATTCTTTATCCTCTTTGGGAAACGGCTAATTGTAGGCTGCTGAGTCACTATTTGTCTCTGTATGACTTTTTATACTGCCCCCCCGTGGCCATGGTGGGTAGGCCAGAAGCAGGAGCAGCACAATGCGTTGAAGTGAAGCCTTAAATCTTGACGTACAAACTGTGTAATTCTTTAGCTTTTGATTTATTTTCTATCAGTACAATTTTAGAGTGTTTTTTTTTCCTTCTTTAAAAATAATTTTAAAAAAAGATTATGATTCAGAGCACAACCCTCTGAGGGTTTTGTATGGTCATTCTAATCTTTGTCTTTTGAAGCTTTGTTGAAGTCCCAATAAAAGGTTTAGCGAAATACTTCCTCTCTCGACTAATGAAAATCCAGACAAAAGAGTAAAAATAGGCGGGAACGCGGAAGAGGGTTGAAGGCACGTTTTGCTAATGGGCTCACTGTAATCTCTTAATGAACTTCCACATGGAATGGCAGAAATGGATATGGCTGGAGAATGGGCAAAGGTGGGCTTGCAATGCGGTCATCATTAAAAGTGAGTTCTGTCTGGATTTTTTTTCTTTTTGAAGCAGTGGAAGAAATATTTGTTTTTTTTACAAGCCGCCAATTTCTAAAGCGTTGTTACTAAAATGAGAGGACGACACAAGGTCGGTCACTTGTCCATGCGGGGCACAAAGCGCGAACTGCGCACCCTGATCCTGACCTTTTGGCAGGCGGACGACAGGCCCTGTCAGAAATCCCCCGCGGCAATCCGCCGATGTCGTCAGACGGCGCAGAGCAAGCCGGTGTCATCCACTTGACGGGTCAGAGGGCCCTGTAAGTCGCCATTTCGCCCTCAGAGTCACGAGCGCTAAGTCTGACATTGAGCCTCCTGATGAATGGGGGAAAGTGGGAGAGTGCTGCCCGCCGTCTCGGGTCCGTCGGTGCCGCCGCAACGGCAAAATTCACTCTGAAACAATTTGTTTAGTCATGCTCAAGCTTAAGGTACACCTCCATGCTAGTTCACGGCTCATTCCTCGACGATAAGATGGATTTTGAAGTCATCGTTTTTTTTTTTTTTACACTATCCACCCTAAGTCCGATAAACAAATAGGGATGAATGACTTTGAAACAGAATGTCATAATGGGGAAAATATGTTATGGTCTGATGAATTCAAGTATATAAATAGGCAAAAGTTGAAACAAAAACAAACAAAAAAAAAAAACCTCTTCTCTCACTCACTTCAAATAAATTACAATAATAGCATTTGTAATACGAATATGCTTTGTAATATTTCTAAATGAAGGCTTAGGTTCAGCAACAGGTGGAATCTTTGTGGGGGAGGAAAGCCATAAATTAAAATGCATGGTAAAATATATTGCGCAATCTTCTATAAATCAAACTTAAAAACACACAAAAAAAAACAAAAAACCCCTCCCAAACCCGATGTGCTCGAAAAAGTAATGACAATTTTTCAAATCAGCACTAAAATTATGCTTAAGCCGTCTTGGATTCAAAATTGCTGTTGAGCAGTGTAATTAGTTGACTGCAATTATGAGAAAATCCAGATACAAATTCTCTGCACATGCAAGTGTGAATGTGTGTGACCGCGCGCACGTATACACACCTACACACACACACACACACACACAGACACAGACACACCTGGTAATCTGCAGTAAGATGGTTTATGGGCTTGTCTGCCGTGACGCAAGTATGCCGGCTGACAGATTCTCCCTGACAACTAACAAAGGCGCAGCAGCCCACAAGCCTGCGCAGCCCTACTTCTTGACAAAAAGGGTCACACTGGATCACAATCCTCCAATGACTTTTTTCCCCAATTGTGCGCGATCAAAGTAAAGAATAAAAGTGACAAGGTCGGTGTGGATGAGGAGCGGGTACATTGTTTGATGCGAGGGCACGCTGCACAAACCTAACCTTAATTCATTTAATTGCATATAATTGGTCGCATTGTTTAATTGACCGATACCTTGATAGGTGTTTTTTTGTATTTAACTGTGGGCGTGCACATTTTAGTTTTGTTTTTTTTTGTTTTCAAATGATAGGTTCAAGAAGTTCTTTGAGTTAAGTGGGAATCGACAGCCTTCAAAATATCATGACATGGTCACAACTGTCAAGCTCATTAATTGACAAACAAAAATGTGATTGTCCAGCTCTGCTGTAGGTACACATCAAATTATAAATATTTTAAGTTTTACAATAAAACACAATATATAGAATGTATCGGTATGGATTGGCAGTGCCGCGGAAGCTGACGATCACCTGGATCTAGCTTACGCTTAGAACCCCGGAATGTATTACTTGGATTGAAAGTGTGTGTGGGTTTATGATAGGCTGTAACATCTGGAACTTTGCGATGCAATTCAAAATTGTGAATTGCAGCAAAACCAGCGGATGACAGGCAGCCACTCATGAAAACGAGCTGCCAAACCCAGCACGCTGCAAAAGTCAGTTTTGGTCCCGTCGCTGGGTAGGGCGGCCTTAGGCGCCTGTTGAAAGTGAAGTGAATCAAAACATGTCTCAGTGTGCACGTGTTTAAAAAAAAAAAAATACATCATTACAACAATGCAAACGGCAGTCTGAGGGGGTCTAAAACATACGCTGACATAAAATACAGACGAGGACTCTTGAACAGGTCGGGCAGGGGTATGAGAAGCTTCTATAAGACAACCATTCAACTGAGAAATTCAGTTTTTTTTTTTTGTTAATCTCTATGACCACTAGAAATTCCACGACTAGCTTTCTTGTATCCTAATTATGTTTGATCAAGATGTGACTATAAAAAAAATATATATATACCACCAGAATATCTATTTGGGGTTGGGGTTCGATCACTTCCATTTAACTTCAGTTTGAATGTGAATGGTTAATTCTGAACCCAAGAGGGTGTGTGCACTTGTGCAACCATATTATCACATTGTTGATTTTTACTTCCCCCCTATTAGATTAACGGTGAAAAAGGGACAATTTTGGTGTCATTTTATTAGATCACTAACTTGGCATTTGAGCAGGGGTGTGTGGACTTTTTATATCCACTGCATTTATTCCACAAACGATATATCGTCATAGGCAGACCAATTAATTAAATGCGCTTTGGAGTGGCTGAGTTGTGTCTGGTGGTTTGCCGAGAAACTTTTTCCTTGGTGAAATATAATGTGGCTTCGGTATACTGTACTGCTCGAGTCAGTGGCAAGTCCCGCCCCCCTGTTCCCCCAGCCTGGAGATGCCGCCTGTCAATCAACGCGAAACCAGCCCCGCCCACCTTCTCCCCCTCTGACAGTCAGACGGGAAGCCGGCCACAGACTCGCCCTTTACAGCTGTGCGACTTCAAACTCGATGACATCACGCGCTGTCGGCGACGGACGAAGGGGGCAAAATGCGAGTGCTCGGAAGACATTACGCCGCTGGATAAAAGTAGGTGCGAGAAGGCTGCAAAGTTGTTTTCACTCTCGTTGAGACGCGTGCGCAAAAAAAAAGTGCGCGGTAAAAGGACTGTCGGGAGAACGTTTGGACACCATGGTGGATTAAAAGCGGATACAAAAGTGCGATTTGACAGCTCAAAAGACGCGTTGTTGTTGTTGTTTGCACGTTGCGACGCGTGTGTTTTAAGTCCACCGGAGCTTTGACTCGACGTCATAGACAAGTCGGCGGACTGAAAGTGGAGACACGGAGGGGCAGTTGTGTCGTTGATGCCGACCCAGTTTGCGAGGCGGTGCGCGGTGACTAATAAGCCACACACAGGTCCAAGCGGCTGCTGAATTGAATTTGTCTGGAGAGTGCAGAAGCGCAAGTAACGAGAAGCATATTTGACTTCGCTCTGCCGTATGCGCGCGAGAGACGGATTTTGAAGTTGCCGCGGCAACTCTTGCGGGACTTTGAAAAAAAAAAAGTTTTTGGACAAGGAATTCAATTGAGGATGGGTGACCATGCGGACGGCGGGGAGAACGTGAACCTGAGTGTGCTCAACTGGGAGCAAGTGCAGCGTCTGGATGCCATTCTGGCCGGCTCCATCCCCATCCACGGCCGCTGGAGCTTCCCCACGCTGGAGGTGAAGCCGCGCGACATCGTCAAAGCGGTCCGCAGCCGAATGGAGCAAACGCACATTCGCGTCCGCGAAGTGCGGCTCAACGGTTCGGCGGCCAGCTACGTGCTACACGAGGACAGCGGACTGGGGTGGAATGACCTGGACCTCATCTTCTGCGCCGAGCTCAAGGGGGAGAAAGAATTCCAGATCGTCAAAGATTTGGTGCTGGACTGCCTGCTGGACTTATTGCCCGAGGAAGTGAACAAGGAGAGAATCACGCCCTTGACGCTAAAGGTAAATGTATGAATGAGTAATATCGCAGTCGGGGCATGGAACGAACGGTGGGTTGGGGGGGTCGGGGGGGGGGGTCACCTTGTGCCCCACAAAAAGCAGTTGAAATGCTAGTTTTCTGTCAAAAAAGAAAAAAGACGAAGGTAAAAGTTCAGCTGTTCTAGTCGGCTTTTCCTGACATTTTTGCTGCTATTTGGGACCGTGCTTGATGAAGGCCTGGTTCCATCTGGAGGGGGGAAAAAAAAAAACTCAAGCATCATGCTGCCGCCATCATGCTTGACTGTATGTATGATGTTCTTTTGAATTTGTATTTTCACCAAACATACTTTTTAGAATTTGAGCCAAAATGGTTCCACCTCAGGTTCTCTAACCAGATTCCTTGTTGACTTTTCATCTATTTTGGAGGCTCGTCCAGTTCTCAATCATGTCACCGTTGTTCCATATTTTGAACACTTGATGATTGCTCTCTTCACTTTTTCTCCCCCATGGTCTATTTAATACCCTGTCAATTATTTTAGACCCTTCTCCTGATTAATACTATTGAACAATAAGAACCCTCCCGGCGCCGTGGAAGCTCTCCGCAGATTATGGCATGTAAGATGTGACTTCAAAAAAATGTCAGTGAAAGCATACTAGAACAGCTGCACTTTATATAGGGTTAAACAGAACTTCAAGTGGGGCCAGGTGTGTACTGGCTCGCATTCACATTCCAAAAAAGTTTCTTTTTCAGGGGTGCAGAGGAGGGCGGGGGAACCCGTTTTTCATGGAAAATCATTTTTCAAAGTGATTCTATCGAATCCAACTGGATTCAGCTCCATCTGAATAAGTGCCCCCCAAGTGCTGATATCAACATTGTTCATAAAAGCAAAACACAATCTCTTATCGACTCCATCCTGAGATGGTCTGACACAGGAAGAAGTTAGGTAACACAAGCAGTCTTTGTGCAACAAGACAGAAGCTGGGCGGTTTTGTTCGAAAATGCCACCTTTGTGGTTTACCCCTGGGACTGGTTCTGCTTTTTTTTTTTTTTTGCACATGCCCCCGAAGATAAAACTACTCCTATGCGATACATTAATGTACATTTTGGAAAATGAAGGGTTACTGTTTTGGGTATCTTGCATAACTATATTGCATGAGCACCGGGCGAGAACCCAATGACAAATTCCTAGCATTGTGATGCTAACAGGTTAGCCACCTGGCAGTGTGGCGGCGTCCCGCTGAAGGATAATTAATTAAACTTTCTGAGGTGGGGCCTAATTATATGTATGGTTTGTGGTGTTGCGTTGGCTGATCCTTTGGATACAAAGTACATTTGGGGACTCTTGTTCTATGCTGTGGTAAATTCAAATTCTTACCAAGTGATTGGCTGGTGAACAGTCCAAAGTGTCGTCTGCCTTTTTTGGCTACTCCGGAAATTAAGGTACCAAAACTAATTGAAAAAGACATTTTTAAAATCCCTTCAATATTGCAATTTGTTATGAGATTATTTTTACAAGGTCCTTTTACCGTTTATGCATAAATTTAAAAATGGCAATAATTTCCCTAATTTAACCTTCAGTCACAAGCTGCTTCTCAATGTTTTTTTTTTTTTTTACAGGAGGCCTACGTGCAAAAGATGGTGAAAGTGTGCAATGACACGGACCGCTGGAGCCTCATCTCGCTGTACAACAACCGCGGCAAGAACGTGGAGCTCAAATTCGTGGACTCCCTGCGGCGGCAGTTCGAGTTCAGCGTGGATTCCTTCCAGATCCGCCTGGACTCGCTGCTACTCTTCTACGAGTGCTCGGAGCACCCGATGACCGCCCCT